AAAAAAAAAAAAAAAAAAAAAAAACAAACACAGGGGAAAAAAATGTAAGTACTAATTGAGCTAGCTGATAAAAAATTACAGAAGTTCTCTCTTTAGAGAACCCTAATAAGTTCTTTGATGGCAATTCACATAAATTGGATGGACAGATTCTCCCAGGAAAACTAGAAATAGTATCTTCTTATCAAATGAAAAAAGGCATGCCCTAAAATGCTGGTGGGAAAGTCAATCTTCTATGCTCTTCTACCTGAGAAATCTCTAGCCAGCAACTAGTAACCTCCAAATCAATGTTTCTATGTCCAGGTTCTATTTCATTACAAATATAAATGTCTCAAGATTATTTTTGTATCCTCTTCACTGTTAAATGTATAGAACCTAGTATCACAGGATTTGATCATGCAAATACGTAAGGCTTCATTCAAAGGGCGACAGAAAGAATGAAAAGAAAGCAAATCTGCCAGCACAGACAATGTTCAAAAAGAGCTTTGAGGCAAGAGCTCAGGAGAATCTGTCTTTGCAAAAACAGAACTTTTCTCCTGTCTGAAAACATGGTTCATAAAAGCTTAACTGCATGAACTATAATCCATGTCATCTCAGCATTTATTTTCAAGCTCATCTAAAACTTTGAAATAGAGATTGATCTACCACATATGTGAATTATCATACATTTACCAACTCTCACATTCCAAATAATGCCATATCAAGGGAAATGTCTGTTCTGTACTCAGCAGTGATAATATTTAACACTGATAAATCCACTCTTGGGGCCTGAGACAGAAACTAGGTGGGTAGGTCTATCACTGCATCTACAGTATTGAAGGTTCAAAAGCATCTAGAAGAAAACAAGAGTAATTTCCAAAATTTGCTGATGTATTTACTGTTGGTATAATTGGATTATTCCCATACCTTACAAGAGGTCTCTATACCATCCCCTAAGAGGGCTCCTGAAGGCGTCTGTCCTGGCAGACACTCTGAGGGCTGCCCTCTAAGCCTCTGATATTAACACCTCCTGTCACAAGCCCACCCACTTCACAAGCCTCAGTGAACAAACAGGAATTCTATGCTGGGACTGAAAACAAAATGAAGAAACCAAAACAAAGACAAGAGAATAAATCTTGATCAGGGTTTACAAAACTGAACTCCCAGCCTCCTCTGGAGAGGAGTTCCTAAAATAACCCTTCACCAGGGAGACCTTGGAATAGTCAAGTGAGAGTTTACTATGTGCTCTTTTTTATGCAGGGGAAAGTATACTCTCCATTGAGTATGCTTACAGGTCTAACCTAGTGATTTCCCAAAATTAAATATGCACTGATATTACAAAAAAAAAAAAAAAGCCAGCTGGCTGGACCCCTCCCTCCCACAGAGCATCCATAGGAATATGAATGACATAAAGGCCTCTGTCCTCCAACAAGGAGAGAAACTGAGTCACAGCCTCCTCCTCGCAAGTCCTCTTCTTCCTTCCCATGGCATTATGCTTTATCACACATCAGAGGTCCGTATGTTTTCATCATCAAGGTTGAACATAAATGGTTTCTCCTTGGGCTGCTGGGGTTCCGATCTGTGCCTTATCCGGGCAGGCAGAAACACTCCAGAAGTATTGCTCTCCCCAAGTCGAGGCATGAACGAAGTGTCCTCTGGAGTCTCTTCAGCTGGAAGTAGCTTTTCCCCAGCCTGGGGAACAGGTGTCCAGGGCTGCCAGGAGGAGGCCAGAGAGGGGGCTTTGCATAGGGCTTTCTTCTCCTCCACAGGTGGTCGCCCCCTGCATAAGAATGAGTTGGGCCCACCTGGGAGGTTGGAGCTTCCAGGTCGAGTCAAAGAAATAGATCTAGAAAAGGATGTTTCCTATAAGAAAAAAAAAAAAAATCAAAGGGAAGGAAAAGATAAAGCAAAGTTAGGGATTTTCCAGATGTTTATCCCAAAGTCCCAAGAACACCACCTCATAGGTCCAGAGACACTTATCTGCAAAAATCAAATATAGCCAACAGCATTCGCTCCAGGTATGTAGAGATTTCCCTGGCAGGGAGACTTAGAGGATATATCATATATTCCATTTCTCTATGCAATCCTACCGCACCTTCTCCAACAATCAAAAACAGAAAAAGGGGCAGCACCTGTGGCTCAAACGGGTAGGGTGCCTGTCCCATATGCCGGAGGTGGCGGGTTCAAACCCAGCCCCAGCCAAAAAAGAAAAAAAAAGGGGAGGGGACAGAAAAAGAAAAACTTGTACCTGAATTAGTTAAAAGAGAAAAACAAGACAGCTGGTGCTTCAACTGCATGTTAGGGACCAGGCTGCTTACTTACATCACCAAATAAAACATGCCTACTCAAGGAGAATTCATCTCTAAGTTGACACTGTGCAACAGAAAGGAAATGACTTACTCTGGTGTGGCACTTGAGGGCCTGGACAGCTGTCCCAATCTCCTTAATCCAGCTGTGCATGTCTTCTGGACTGTCTGCCTGCAAAACATCCACGGCACTTACAGAGATGTTTTGGGCACTATGATTTCAGCTTTCAAGTCTCTGACTCAATTTTAAGTTCATAAAAATCACACGACCAGTAGAGGTAGAAGGGATCTCAGAAATCATCTAGTCCAGTAGCTTTCAGACTTTTGAAGACATTTTTTCCAGTTATATTTTATTTGACACTGGATAAAAACAGTATAAAGTGAAGCTGGTCTGAAGGGAGGCACAGGGTATAGGGGAGGGGACAATTTAGTGCCCCATGCCCTACTGAAGTCCCTCATCCCCTCAAGAAAATAAGTCCCCTAGTATATCTCCCAATTTTACAGAGAAAGAAAATAAGGCCCAGAAAGCCAGAGCTCAAGGCTCATAGCTGGTTAAGACTCACATTCTCCCTACTCCCACTGTGGTCATCTTTCCACTGTAACTATCCTATCATCCTACTCTCAATTACAGCCCCTGAAAACCAAATCTGCCTACAAATCCTCTAAGATATGTATTATCATGTGTATTATCTCCAGAAGTGGGGCTTTTCTCAAAGCACAAGCTACCTACATCTGTCACATCTGTCTTGAATCTCTATTCAGGCCTGGAAAGTTGCTACTCGGGGCCTGGAGAGCCACACTCAACAAGATGTACATAGGACAAAGTTAAGGACTTAAAAGTATTTTCCCCCAGAAACAACCTACCAACCCCAGAAGAGGGCAGCAGCGGCTCTGTGACAGGTGGAGCATCTCAGTGCTTTCTGAGTTCATGTGACCACATCAGGTGCCAGGCACAGAAGGAGGACCAGGACTGAATCTTTGACCTCCAGAAATGTACATTTGTTACCGCCCTCTGTCCCTACTGTTCACTACAGGTCCCACCAAAATACACAAACATGCATCTGTGTGCATGTGCAAACCTCTCTGCAAACATCACACACCACGCCCCAAGCTTCTCCACAGCCTCCCCTCCTATTCCCCATCCCCAAAATGACTCCTTCCCTTTGCATTCTATCAGGATAAAATATGACCAGTTTAACAAATTCTCATACTTGCGTCTGTACCCCTTCATGTCCAAAACAAACCCTTCATGGCTAGATGGACACAGAAGATACTTGCATGGGCAATGGTTTCATAGGGTGACCACCTCCCCAACATGTGCTACGCATGCAGACTGCACTCTCTCTCTCCCCTCAACCTTTTCCAGTTACTTAATAAACTGGTGGTTTCCCAACAAAAAGATAAATTCAGTATAGAAAAAAGGGAAGTGCAAGCTCTTATCTTCATCTCTTCCTGGTGTGTTTATATGTGTGCACTTGTTTCTGGGGCATGGCTTAAAAGAAAAAGTAGGGTTTCTGTCCTTGATGGGAGTAATGGAGGTAAAGAGGGACAAAAAGTGTTAAATTGAGTCACTGAAACCCACCGTATTAATGCAGGTCAATGAGCTTTTATGGAGCATCTACTACCCAGCACTGTCACAGATGCAATGGTCTGAAACAAGGAATTCTAAGGGCATCAATAAAAGGCTTCCAATATCTACCTCTGGCTATGGCCACTGCCCCAGTGTTTTTAGGCAACTCCCCCTTCATTCTTCCCCTAACCTCTGCAGACCTTCTCTCCCAGCAGCAGACTGCCTCTGCCCTCTTCCCAAGAACCAGTCCCACCTTTGGACACAGCCCTGCCACTATGATTTTGCAAATTTTGTACTACATGTTTCCAAGTGTCATTATCCACCTTGTAGCCTAAATTAAATGGCAAGTACCCAAAGAGGTCTAGCCCATATTCTGCAACTCATTTGTGAGTTCACTTACTGCTACTCTTGTCCTGACACAGCATCACAGTTCTGACAACTGAGCTAAGCCAAGTACCAAGACCAGTTTGCAATGCGTTTCTCCTTTCAAGTAACTAATGTTCCCCTTGATCAACTACCTAAAACCTCTCATCTTTAGTGACTAGAAAACACTGCTTGAATCCCAAGGATTGAAATCTCACTTTGAACCCATGCCCAGAACTGAAAAATGTCTACCTGCTGTCAAGCCCACCACCTTTTGTCTGCTAAGATACATGATTATTGCCAGACCCTGGTCACCACAATCCGTGTGCATTCCTAGTTGCCCCAAGTTGGCCATCCCTGATACAGACAGACTTTTCAGGTTGTCTGTGGCCACACCCTCTACATCATATGCTCTGGAATAATCTGCTCTTAAAAAACCCAAGTGAGGAGGTCTTGCTCCAGCACCTGGTACATTCCACTAGACTCCATAATTTACTGGTTTATGATCTCAGACAAATAATGTACCTCTAGAGACTTTGTTTCCCTGCATGTAAAGTAGAGATGACTCCAGAGAATGCTGAGAATTAAGTGATATGCTGCCTACCTACAAGTTGCTTGGCACTATACCAGCTCTTTTGGGCAGATTCACTGAGTGTAACCTTAGGGAGCAGGTAAGAAGTTTGCAAAAATATGAAAAGAACACTACTCTTCTTGCTATTTTCAAAAATATATTTTTCATAAAGATTTTTTTAACTAATGAGTTTACATTACTATTTCTTAATGAATTAACAAATATTGTAAATTATTTTTAATCTACACATTTCTCTTGTCTTAATCTACACATTGGCTCTAAGAATACCACTTTGTCATGTTGGGTAAAACAGGGGCACCTTAGCCCCAAACTGTATAAGCAGTTATATCTTTTCACCTTTTGCATGAAACATAATTTTTATTTTGACACATAAATTATCAGCCAAACTTACTAAGACTTACGTATTGGCAGACCTTATCTCAGAAATGAATGAAATGGGCCTATAATGTGAGGGAAAAGAATCATCATTTTGACTTTTTTTTTTTTTTTTAGACAAAATCTTACTCTGTTGCCTTGGGTAGAATGCCATGGAGTCATGGCTCAGAGCAACATCAAATTCCTGGGCTCAAGTGATACTCCTACCTCAGCCCGCTGAGTAGATGGGACAACAGATGCCCACCACGACAGCCAGCTAGTTTTTCTGTTTTTAGTAGAGATGGGGTCTGGCTCTTGCTTAGGCTGGATGATTTTGATATTTCAAAGCAAAAATCAGAATTTCAGAAAATTTGTATCCACTCCATGAGCTTGACAGCTTTTCATACTTATATAATTGCTAATGATATTAGTGGTAATGCTACTAATGAATGTGATTTTTTTTATATTGCATAATGAAATGTGTCAACAATTGCATAACTCAGTGAGACCACTAATTTCCACATGACCAATGCATGCTGTTACAAAATTATACCCAGATAAAAAGTAACTACTTAAGGTGCAAAACTGACCACTGGGGCTTAATAGAAGACATTTATTAATATGGTCTCAGATTCAAAATTGCAGTAAGCATTAAGAAATTACCACTTGTCAAGTTTTGGCATAGAATCTAAGAATATTCACAATTATCCAAAAAGGCTATTAAAATAGTCTCTTTTTTTCCAAATACATATCTATGGGAGTCCAGATTTTCTCCATATTCTTTGATCAAAACAACACATGGCCACAGATAGAATACAGAAGCTGCTATGAGATTCCTGCTGTCTTCTATTAAGCCAGCTATTGAAGAAATTTGCAAAAATACGAAAAGAATACTACTCTTCTTGCTATTTTCAAAAATACATTTATTTTTCATGCAGATTTTTTTAACTAATGAGTTTACATTACTATTTCTTAATGAATTAACAAATATTGTAAATGATTTTTAATCTATGTAGACATTTCCCTTACATTTCTATCCTGTATGAATTAGGGGTGATAAACAGATTTATTTATTGGGGTAATGCCAGTGTTCAACTATCCCAGAAATGTGGAGGGCAAGAGACAAAAAAAGGACTGAAGTGCTAAGAGTCTTCTAGCAAAGGTGCATATAGTCATGTACATGATGTAGAGTCTTTCGAACATTTTTTTGTTGAGTTTTATGTTTCCCAAATCACTATCTTTAGGCCAAAGCTCTCTTTCTTCTGAATTCTTGCCCAGCACAATCATTCACTTGACAAATGTGATTCGGTGTCGTCAGTGTGTCAAGCAGTATGTATCCAGTGGTATTCATAACAAGCCCCTTTGATGTCCCCTAGGCACTGTAACTTCATAACCACCCATGCTAACTTTGTCCTTCCTCTCAACGGTCCCTCCTCCTGTGCTCCTCACACAGCCACTGGCCCTCTTAGCCAAACATCTGGACATTGTTCTTGCTTCTCTTCTCTGCCTTCTCTTAACTTTCAAATCCTAGGAACTCAGACGCTTTGTTTTCTATTAAATTTCCCACTTTTCTCCATCCCAGTTCAAGGCTTCCTTTACCTCACCTAAATTATTACCACAGCCTTCTAATGGATCTCTGTTGTCCTACCTCATCTGACCTTTACACTGCACCTGCCTGGTAGTCAATAGACAGCACAGCATTCAAATGGCTAAGGGAGAGGATATTCCTCTTCTTGTTACAGATAAGGAAAGCAAGGCTCTGAAAGGTAAATACAGGCTTTTTTTTTTTTTTGAGACAAAAGTCTTGCTCAGACACCGGGTAGAGCAGGCGTCCTCAAACTGTGGCCCGCCGAGGACATTTATCCAGCCCGCCGGGTGTTTCTGCCATTGCTGCCTGTCCTGCTTAGCAGCCGACTCGTCCCAGGACCCACAGTCCGGCCCTCTAACGGTCTGAGGGACAGTGAACTGGGCCCCTGTTTAAAAAGTTTGAGGACCCCTGGGGTAGAGTGCTGTGGCATCACCATAGCTCACAGCAACCTCAAGCTCCTGGGTTCAAACAATCCTCCCACCCTTGCCTCCCATGCATTACAGGCATGAGCCACTGGACCCATCTTCAAGTGATTTTTTATTTTAAGGTAAAACCAATCAAGTCACTCCCTTAAGGCACTAACTCTCGAGATAAAATACAAGCTCTTCTACAAGACACACAAATCATATGCCTACCCGTCCAGCTTCCCATACATTCTCCATTCCTTTTATCTCCAGACTTTTTTTTTTTTTTTTTGGAGACAGAGCCTCAAGCTATCCCCCTGGGTAGAGTGCCGTGGCATCACAGCTCACAGCAACCTCCAACTCCTGGGCTTAAGCGAGTCTCCTGCCTCTGCCTCTCAAGTAGCTGGGACTACAGGTGCCCGCCACAATGCCCAGCCATTTTTTGGTTGCAGCCATCATTGTTGTTTGGCGGGCCCGGGCTGGGGATTTGAACCTGCCACCTTAGGTGTATGTGGCTGGCGCCTTAGTTGATTGAGCCACAGGTGCCGAGCCCAGACTTTTTTTTTAAAAAAAGGTGCTATTCCCTTGCCTAGGCCACTTTTCTCCCAACTTGGCTTATATATCTTTGTTCAGGAAACTTTCTGTGACCCCTTCAGACAGGGTGAGGTGCCCTGCTGGGCTCAAGCAGAAAGACCCACAGCTGGAGCCACTGACTAAGAAATGAGGTAGGGGACCAGCCCCCTGTAAAAAGGAGAGTGTTGGCTCGGCACCTGTGGCTCAACTGGCTAAGGCGCCAGCCACATACACCTAAGGTGGTGGGTTCAAATCCAGCCCGAGCCCACCAAACAACGATGATGGCTGCAACAAAAAAAAAAAAGCCAGGCATTGTGGCGGGCGCCTGTGGTCCCAGCTACTGGGGAGGCTGAGGCAGGAGACTCGCTTGAGGCCAAGAGTTGGAGGTTGCTGTTAGCTGTGATGCCACGGCACTCTACCCAAGGGGATAGCTGAGGCTCCGTCTCAAAGAAAAAAAAAAACAGGAGAGTGTTTAGTTTAGAGCCACATTTGGGGCAGAGAAGAAGGAATCCTGAAAAGCCTTAGTTTGGAAGCCTCACAGTGAATCCAAGACACTACAAGTCGGTTTTACTGCAGAAGTCCAGCATCATGGCAGTGCTGTGAATCCAGGCACTCTCTGTAGACTGCTCTGCAGGCAGGGTTAAAGACTTGGCCCTGAAAATGTAGGCCCTGCTTGGAAATCCACCCTTCTAACTCCTATGACTTTAGAAGGAGTTGGGAGAAATCCAAGGCTGTGGGTGGAGGGGAGAAGCTGCTGCTAAGTGAACTGTCAGAGCCTAAACAATGGCTTTCTCTGTGCAGCTGGGCTCTGCACCTGGTGCCCGCACAGGGCCCTCTGAGATTTTGTCCTTCCGCACACAGCAATGTCCACACACAGATGAGACTTATAAATACCCTCCAAGGAGAAGTGAAATCACTGACCAGTTCTCCTTTTCTCTGCTTAGCTGGAGCCCCCAGCAACTGAGAGCAGCTGCTTACAAACTCACACTCCCCAGTACAGCGGCTCAACCTGCTCTGATTATTTTATGGTTGGGAAGCTTTTGGCAAACATCCTGTTTAGAATAAAATGGGACTCAGACTGACTATCAGAGCTAAATTTACTGCCTAGAAAGTTCAAGCAAAGGAAAGGGCAAGGTTAATCAGTACGCTATTCACAGAAAGGGAACGCCATCATCTCCTCAGAGTGAGCATTTTACCTGTACATAGAAGGTCCTGGAGCTTGTTATTATTTCAAACAGGTTGTCCCTCATTAAAAGATCTCTAGACAGAAAGAAAAAGAAAGTTACTGGGCATGCTGGCATACACACTGAAGACCCGTCCTAAGTTAAGGCACCAGGGCCCCCCACCATTTAAAATTTTAAAAAAGAGAAGTGGGGGAGTTCCAAGCCATTCTTCCTTCACGGAGCCTCAAAGAACACTCTAGGGGATTCCTCCAGCCTCATTTCCTAGACGGCTCAGGAGGTTTTGCCATCAGATGGACCTTCCCCACCACCAGCAGCAGTTCTCAAAAGACAAAGCTCCTTTCCCTCCAAAACCTCCTGCCTAACAATCTACCACTGCCCACCCCTCATTCCCACTTCCTACAGTTTTCTTTCTTCCTTCATTCTTCTAAGGCCAAGATACACAAAGTGTTTTGTATGAAGCAGTGTTCTGAGGGCTCTCAGGCCCATTATTTCATCCAATTATCACAACCACCCAGTGAGATCCCAAAGACTTTCCCAATTTTGTGTACAAGGAAACCCAGGTTCAGAGAGTATAAAATGATTTGTCCGAGATGTGACAGATTTGAACCCAGGTCTGACGCTGGAGTCTGTGCTTTTAATTACTCCACTGCCACGTGGCCCTCCTAAGGGGACCAACTCACCCCTTCCAAATCTTTCTCTCACCCAAGCAGCAGCTCCATCAGCTTCACTTGGTTGCTGCTTTTTGCTTCATTGTACTAAGGACAAGGTGCTGAAGAGAAGGAAAGGAAGGAGGGAGCAGGGTTTGGCTGCAGAAGAGATATCCTGACTTCTGCAAGGAAGAGGGCAAGACGTAGCTCACACTCAGTGACCAGCCGAGTCAGCCGGCACTATTCACAGCGTTAAACAGCTGCTGCGCAGCCCATGTCCAGTCACTGTGGGGGACACAGAAGGACTGAGATCTAATTCCTACCAAATTAAAGAACATAAGAAAGCAAGACTAGACACACCCTTAGATGTGAAGAGTATGTGTTATATGGCAACCACGAGGATGATTCCAAGAATGGACTGATCATAAGCAGGATTGGCTTCATGAACAAAAAGGTGAAAGAAGGCTCAGTGCCAGGTTCAAACCCGGCCCAGGGCAGCTAACCAACAATGACAACTGCAAAAAATAGCTGGGCATTATGGTGGGTGGGAGGCTGAGGCAAGAGAATCGCTTGAGCCCAAGAGTTTGAGGTTGCTGTAAGCTAGGACACCATGGCTAAAGTGAAACTCTTTCTAAAAAAAAAAAAAAAACCCAAAAACTTGAAAGAAAATGACAGGGCCCTGGCCCCTGCCACGGGCTCCTGGGCTAAGGAGATGCATTAGACTAAAGACCTAAGTGGAAAGAACAAGACTGGGGCCGGCTCGGCGCCTGTGCCTCAAGTGGCTAAGGCACCAGCCACATACACCTAAGGTGGCAGGTTCAAATCCAGCCCGAGCCCGCCAAACAACAATGATGGCTACAACCAAAAAAAATAGCCAGGTGTTGTGGCGGGCGCCTGTGGTCCCAGCTACTCGGGAGGTGGAGACAGGAGACTAGCTTGAGCCCAGGAGTTGGAGGTTGCTGTGAGCTGTGAGGCCATGGCACTCTACCCAGGGGGACAGCTTGAGGCTCTGTCTCAAAAAAAAAAGACTGGGGCCAGACAAACCTGAGGCTGAATCCCCTCTCTACTTAGGAAAAAGATACTCGGGCAGTGTTTTAAAGGCTTCATAGGCCGGGCCCGGTGGCTCTCCTATAATCCTAGCACTCTGGGAAGCCAAGGTGGATAGATTACTTGAGCTCACAAGTTTGAAGCCAGCCTGAGCAAGAGCAAGACCTCGTCTCTATTAAATATAGAAAATAAGCCAGGAATCCATGCCAGACATCAAGGCAGGCACCTATAGTCCCAACTACTTGGGAAGCTAAGACAGAAGGATCACTTAAGCCCAAGAATTTGAGGTTGCTATGAGTTATGATGCCACAGCACTCGACCCAAGGCAACAGAGTGAGACTCTGTCTCAATAAATAAATAAATAAATAGACTGTGAGCCTTCGTAATCCCAAGTAAAAAACAGGGAGGAAGGGCTCTGCTTTATAAGCTGGGTCACCACAAAGATCAATTATAAGGCATCTGGCATAATGCTTGTCATGAATAGTCACTTGAAACACATTTCACCAACTACTGTTATTACTTTCTGTGTTTCTCAATACAAAAGGCTCTTCTTTCCGGTTACAGTGTTGTAGCCTTTCAAATTACTCATGCATATACAGTCAAACCGTGTAACTGACTACTGAGGAGGTGAAAGCAAAGCAGGTAGGAAATCCCCGCTGCTTTCACATCTCCTTCTCAGGCTGCATGGTGCTGTTCATTCAATTCAGCTCAACTAACAAATGTTCACTGACTACCAGACGTCCTGCACCCTCCCACGCGGTTCCGGAGAAGCCAAACAATCTGACAGGCCTAGAAGCTGCAGAGCCCTCAGGACGTCCTTCTCTGTTGGTCTTCAACTCCCTCACTGCTTTTACTCAGAGTATGATGTCAGTCTGGCAAAATTCAAGAGATTTAGGGAACGTCTGAGGCACTTTTAGGATTGAACCCTGCCTTGGTTTCCTACGCTGCCCTCACAAGCCAAGATAGTCTCTGGGACCTGCAGAGTCAGGCACAGTTAAAGATCTCCAAAAGTCTAATCATGCCCAGTCTTTCCTCTGCCCACTGCCTACCTGTGGAGCAATACTTCTGGCAACTTACACATCCATGGCCACTTTCATTAATTATAAATTGTCAAGCCGGGCATGGTGGCTTGCACCTTTAATCCTAGCACTATGGGAGACCAAGGTGGGTATATTGCTTGAGCTCAAGAGTTCAAGACCAGCCTGAACTACAGTGAGACCTCATCTCTAAAAACAGCCTGGCAATGCGGTGGGCACCTGTAGTCCCAGCTACTTGGGAGGCTGAGGCAAGAGAATCTCTTGAGCCCAAGAGTTTGAGGTTGCTGTGAGCTATGATGCCATGACACTCTACCCAAGCAAAAAAGTGAGACTCTCTGTCTCACAAAAAAAAAAAAAAGAAGGGCAGAGCCTGTAGCTCAGTGGATAGGGCACCAGCCACATACACCCAGGCTGGCATGTTTGAACCCAGCCCAGGCCAGCTAAACAACAATGACAACTGCAACAAAAAAATAGCCGGGCGTTGTGGTAGGCACCTGTAGTCCCAGCTACTCAGGAGGCTGAGGCAAGAGAATCGCTTGAGCCCAAGAGTTCAAGGTTGCTGTGAGCTTTGTTGCTGAGGGCAACACAGTGAGACTCCATCTCAAAAAAAAAAAAAAAAATTATAAACTATTACTGGAACCTCTCTAATCTTGTATACCTGGCAATCTCCATTTGCAGGACTTTAAGGACTGTGTGTGTGTCTCTCCATCCTGGGGACTGTGTGTGCAGAGCCTGAGTAGAGTGCTTCTGTCCCTGTTTCCTTGGATCATAAAGCACACTGTTTTCATGCAAGACCATCCCATGCCTTCGTGAGACAGCTAACAGCTTCTCCGATTTTGTATGTGGGCTCTGCACACACAGTCCATGGGACTGAGAGACACAAACAAACAGTCCCATTCATAGTCCCAAAATACTGCAGTTTGATGGCCGAAAAGAGAATTTCTAAGTGCCCAAAAACCCTTGGGCTCTCTGAAGGTTAGTTCTAGGAGCATCTGTTTTTGGTGCTAGATCTGGGCAATCTCTTGCCAAGATCCAAACTTATTCTATGCACCGTGGCAATTGGAAGGTAATCATTTCCTAGTGAAAAGAGGAACACATTAAAAATACTTGTTCTCCAGGGCGGTACCTATGGCTCAAAGGAGTAGGGCACTGGCCCCATATACCAGAGGTGGTGGGTTCAAATCTGACCCTAACCAAAACTGAAAAAAAAAAAAAATACTTGTTCTGGCTTAGCACCAGTAACACAGTGGTTACAGAGCCGGCCACATACACTGAGGCTGGCGGGTTCAAACCCCACCCAGGCTAGCTAAACAACAATGACAACTGCAACTAAAAAAATAGCTAGGTGTTGTGGCAGGCACCAGTAGTCCCAGCAAATTGGGAGGCTGAGGAAAGAGAATCACTTAAGCCCGAGTTTGAGGCTGTGACCTGTGACACCATGGCACTCTACCGAGAGCAACATAGTGAAACTCTGTCTCAAAAAAACCTCATTCTTCCTACCCAACGGGAATAATAGAGATGTTGTGTATCAGCCTCATAATAATGAGCCACAAGGGTCAAAAGCAAGAGAGGGGTATAAGCAGTTCCAGGAAGAGGCACTGAAGTTAACGACTCAAAGGCACAGTCCATCCTCCAAGCCCCAAGTCTCCTGGAGACTGGACATGTAATTCTCATACCTGAGAAGCATCTGAACTCCACTCCTTTCTTTGTTTCTATATTCTTTCTTTTTTTCCACTAGAAATTATTATGGAGGCTCACATTATGGAGGTTCATCTTCTTAGGAGGTACAGTAAGGAAATGCGAACAGGGTGAGTTTGCCCAGAGTGACCTTGTCCCTGATTAGCTTGGATATAGTGAGTCAGCTGCAAGATGTTAGGCTCCTGTCCCTGCTCCAGGAAGAAGACTCTCGCTTAGAGCTCCAGAGGGTAGTAAATGGAGATTTAAGAGGACAAATGGAAGTTTTGATCATAACAGAAGTAGCAGACACCATTACCCAGACTTGACTAGACATTCATGGGTCTTGAGAACATCCTTGAGATATATAGTACGCAGTGGTTCCCGATCCTGGTGGAAAAAGAGGAAAAACAGGTCAGTGAGGCTGTTTGCATAATGCTGTATGACCCAGACCAGCTGAACAATGCCCTGTCACAGAGATGGTTGACTAAAACCAGGCTGGCAAACAACTTGGTCTTAAAGTCATCATCAGGAGAAAAAGAAAATCTAAGAAGAAGATGCTCCGTGGTGCTGAGCACACAGCAGCTCACTGCGAAAGGGACAAGTCACACCCTGTAAAGAGCAGCGCGCAGCATCACTGAAGACAGATCTCTGTGCATGCCTGCCCTGTGGGTGTGCACTTGCGTGCCTCTTGCTTCTACGACCTCTCAGCAGGGCCCGAAGCTACTACAAACCTGCTCACACTTGAAGTAACAGATGGTAAAGTCATCAAGCGCAAAGAAGCGACGTTTCCAGCTCTTCCGCTAAAATAACAAACAAAAAGCAGGGCATCAGAAGAAGTCTCCAACGCTGTGGGGGTGTTCGAATGCTAAGCTCCCAGGAACCCCACCCCACAGTAGTCAGGCTCCATTGCGGAAGCAGGGGCAAAGGCATCTTCATATCAGAACAGTGCCTCTAACAGGTGGGGGCAAAGGGCTGATCCCCAAATCTCATGGGTGGAGGTGGAGGCTCCTCCTGTCATGCTCCTCTCTCCTCTGCTCCATCCACACCTACCGGCTCCCAGGAGACACCAGAACGCCAATCCTGCCCCTGTGCTGACACTCACCACGTTCCCTTGCTTCACACAGTAGCCACTCTTAATGAGGGGGGAGCCAGTGGAAGCGCGGCTGCCCGATGTGGGGATGTAACTCTGAGACCTACGGAGGATGGCATGGGATCCTGGCTCACTCCCCTCCTGCCCATCACCACCATTCTATAAGGAAACAGTGTCAGGGTTAGCACCTCCCTCTACTGCTCCACAGGCCACAGCCCTATCACCTCCCTCTGCCCTAATCTCTTGCCTCTTTGCTGCTAGGTCAAAAAAAGAAATATACAGGAAAAATCAACCTTCTCTTTACTTCCATTAGGCTCTCTACTGGGTGCTTTCCCAGACAAGTCTCAGGGAGGCTGGGAAGACCCAGGAGAAAGGAAAGGACAGAGAATGCAAACAAGAAGAGGGGGTAACCACCAGATGGGAGGAGGAACACTGGGCTTTGCAGCTGTTCCTGCCCTGCTTTGGGTCCATTTCTCACGGGCTTTACAAGCACTGGTCTCTTGGGTCTGGTACAATTTCTACACTGCCATGACTCAGGACTACCCCTATATTCTCCTCATCACTCCATCTGTACTAGATTTCCAGCCTCTCCCTGCCCAGTCCTCTGTGCACACCCCTGGCATAGACACCTTCATACCTTCACCCCACCTCCCTGGCAGCCTCAGCCAGGCCCCGCACCTGATTGATGGGTGTGTGGACCACCACCCCTCCAATGATCTCTGTCCTGTAGGCCACTTGTGGCTTCTTCTCCAGGGCTGGAAGAGCTGCTAGGCTTTTGAGGACTTCAGTAGCCAGGGGTAGATTCCCAACTTTGGGTACCTGGGAAGAACAACAGCATGGTCGGCAGGGAACAGAAAACTTAGAAAAAACAGAGAGCCAAAGCTATCAGAAAAACTAATGTATCAATTTGTGTGTGTGTGTGTGTGGTTTTTGGCTGGGGGTGGGTTTGAACCTGCCACCTCTGGCATATGGGGCCAGCACCTTACCCCTTTGAGCCACAGGCGCCACCCCTAATGTATCAATTTTTAGGCAGACTCCCCTTTCCCCACCTCTTCCATCCATCCAACTCCAAATATGAGAACTCAGTGGCAGCCCACTCTCACACACACATATACACACAGACTCCACAAATTTACTGAGTACCTACTATGAGCCAGCCCTTCCCTAGTTAGAAACAAAAGATAAAACATCAAACAAAATAATGGGTCCTGCCTTCACGGTGCTTACATGCAAGAAGGGGAGAGGAATTAAAAATATACATATATGTATGTTGCAAAACATATAAATAGTAGTGAGGGGCACAAAGAAATTAAATGGGATTTGGAATCAACCTAAGTGTCCATTACCAGATGAATGGATAAAGATATTCTGGCACATGTACACAAAAGAGACATAAAAGGAATGAAATCCTGCCATTTGTAACAACATGGATGGAACTGGGGAGCATTATGTTAAATGCAACAAGCCAAGCAATGAAAGATAGATCTCACATGTTCTCATTCATATGTGGAGCTAAATATTTAGAACAAATAATGGAGACAGAAAGTAGGGAGGGAGGGATAAAGTAGGGATGGTTAATGGGTACAAAAATATAGTTAGATAGATAGAACGAAGAATGCTTGGTAGCACAACAAAGTGATTATAACCAACAAAAAGTTAGAGTATACTTTAAAATAACTAGAAGAGCAGACCTGAATGTTCCTAACACAAAGAAATGTCAAATGCCTGAGGTGATGGATGCTCTAATTACCCTGATTTGATTAATTCATATTGTATGCCTGTATCAAAACATCACGTAACCCCTGCAAAAACAGTCAACAATTATGTACTCATAATTAAAAGTTTTTAAAAAATAAAGAAAATAAATAGGAGCTGAGCTAGAGGACAGCTTGAAATGGGAGAGGGCAGGGGAAGTCTCCAGAAGAGGAGATGTTCAAACAGCAACCTGGAGAAGGAGAAGGAACTAGAGACCTAACATGGAACAGGTGAAAATGCACGTGGTCAAAGGGACAGAGCTAAGGGTACATGAGCCCCGACGCCCAAAGACCCAGGGAACAGCTCTGACTTCTCTCCAACCACCTGGATGACCTTTGACAAATCACAGAGCCTCTCTAGGCCTAACTCATCTATCTCATGCATAAAATGAAAATAGAAACAGTATTTATATCATAAGCACTGTTGTGGTTATCAACTGATAGCATATATAAATTTAAACACTTTAGAAACACAAATAAAGCCGGACACAGTGGCTCACGCCTGTAATCCTAGCACTCTGGAAGGCTGAGGCGGGTAGATTGCCTGAGCTCAGGAGTTCAAGACCAGCCTAAGCAAGAGCAAGACACCATCTCTAAAAATAGCTGGGCATTGTGGCAGGTACCTATAGTCCCAGTTACTTGGAAGGCTGAGGCAAGAGAATCACTTGAGCCCAAAAGTTTGAGGTGGCTGTGAGCTGTGACGCCAGAGCACTTCACTAAGGGCTACAAAGTGAAACTCTGTCTCAAAAAAACACACAAATAAAAATAAAAGTGTATTACAAAAGGTTTGATGAACACAACACAATGGTACTAACATTTGCAAACAGAACCCTTGCAGCAGAATGAGTTATCTCTGATCCTCCTCAGCAGTCAGGTGCCATCACTGAGCAAATCATCATCGAACTAGTACAGCTGGTTGGTAACCACAGGCCAAGGGCTGCAAACTGGTGACCCCCAGGCAGATTTGGCCCATACTATGTTTTACCTGTCCTATGCAGAGGGTATTTGAATCTATATGTAAAATTTGGGTTATTTCACACAAAAACCTAGACTTTCAGCTGCATAGCAGTTCCCCTGTTAGCTGAGAAACCCATTTTTCATACTCCACAGTTCTCCCCATTCCCCTACTACTGAGGCCACACAAGTCAGATGTCATTTATCCTCATTCCTATTGTCATTCTTCTTCTTCCTTGCGCACCTCACTCACTTATACTACTCTACAAACTCTGATGAAATCTTTCATTTTGTAAGAAAAAACAAGCGGCCCAGGACAGTCAGGTCATTCACCTGAATCCACAATTAATAAACTGAACAGAGACTACACCCTGACTGCAGGCCGGTGCACTGGCCACAGCATCACAATCCCTCGCCTTCATGAGAACACAACACTGCGTACCTATCTAACAGACATAACTACAGCCCTCAGGAGAAAAGCTCAAGTCCCCTTCCACATCTTTCATAGCCTTTTGGAGTCAAAAAGACTTTAGGATCCTATCAAGAACTCGGAGATGAATGAGAATTCTCCCAGGACAGGGACTGAAGACCACACCATTTGGTGACTCTTTGAAGGAATAAGACTACTCTGAGGGCTTGGCGCCTGAAGCACAGTGGTTACAGAGGGTGGCAGATTCAAACCCGGCCCGAGCCAGCTAAACAACTGCAACAACAACAAAACAAAGAATAGCCGGGTGTTGTGGCGGGCACCTGTAGTCCCAGCTACTTGGGAGGCTGAGGCAAGAGAATCACTTAAGCCCAAGAGTTTGAGGTTGATGTGAGCTGTGATGCCACATCACTTTACTGAGGGTGACAGAGTGAGACTGTCTCAAAAAAAAAAAAAAAAAAAGACCACTCTGAGGACAGAGTCCCCACAAAGAAGATGAGACTCTCTCTTCCTGGACTGTACCCTCAGTCTGTATACACAAATATGATCTTTCCAAATCAGGCTAGAAACTCCACCTTCTCCTTTGCCTCTGGCTGAGAGGTAATAGCAGTCACCATCTGGGGCCTCCATTCATTACCAAGCAGTACACTAAGCTCTTTGCTGTGTTGTCTCTAATCTTCAAGCAATCTTTTTTTAATTTTTATTAAATCATAGCTGTGTACATTAATGCAGTCATGGGGTACAGTGTGCTGGCTTTATATACAATTTGAAATATTTTCATCAAACTGGTTAACATAGCCTTCATGGCATTTTCTTAGTTATTGTGTTAAGACATTTATATTCTACATTTAGAAAGATTCATATGTACCCCTTGTAAGATGAACCATAGGTGTGATCCCACCAAACACCCTCCCTCCACTCATCCTCCCCCCACTTCCCTCTCCCTTTTGCCCATATTCTTGGGTGAAATTAGTTTGATAGTAGGGCTTGAGTACATTGGATACTTTTTCTTCCATTCTTGAGATACTTTGCTAAGAAGCAATCTTATCAAATAGACACGACTATCTCCATTTCACAGATGATGTCAACTCAAGCTCATTAAAATTAAGTTACTTGGGTGACACCTGTGGCTCAATGAGTAGGGTACCAAGGGTGGTGGATTCAAACTCGGCCCCAGCCAAACTGCAACAAAAAAAATAGCAGAGCATTGTGGCAGGCACCTGTGCCTGTAGTACCAGCTGCACCAGAGGCTGAGGCGAGAGAACGGCCTAAGCCCAAGAGCTAGAGGTTGCTGTGAGCTGTGACTCATAGCACTCTATGGAGAGTGACAAAATGAGACTCTGTCTCTTAAAAAAAAAAAAATTCCTCGGGGGCTGCACCTGTGGCTCAAAAGGGTAGGGCACCAGCCCCATATGCCAGAGGTAGCAAGTTCAAATGCAGCCCTGGCCAAAAAAAAAAAAATTAAGTTACTTGCCCAAAGGACTGCCTGGCGCCTACCCCGATACCCAGCTATTTTTTTTTTTTTGAGACAGAGCCTCAAGCTATACCCCTGGGTAGAGTGCCGCTGCATCACAGCTCACAGCAACCTCCAACTCCTAGGCTCAAGCGAGCCTCCTGCCTTCGCCTTCCAAGTAGCTGGAACCACAGGCACCCACCACAACGCCTGGCTATTTTTTGGTTGCAGCCATCATTGTTGTTTCTGGCGGGCCAGGCTGGATTCGAACCTGCCACCTTAGGTGTATGTGGCTGGCGCCTTAGCCACTTGAGCCACAGGCACTGAGCCATACCCAGCTATTTTTTTGTTTGTTTGTTTGTAAGAGACAGGGTCTCGATCTTGCTCAGGATGGTCTTGAACTTCTGGCTCAGTCCATCCACCTACCTCAGCCTCCCAAAGTGCTAGGATTACAGGCAGGCACCACCGTGCCCAGCTAGTTTTTCTATTTTTAGTAGAAACAGGGTCTCACTCTTGCTCAGGTTGGGCTCAGAACTCCTGAGCTCAAGCAATACATACACCTTGGCCTCTCAGAGTGCTAGGATTACAGGTATGAACCACCATGCTCAGCCTACTGCTCAATTTTCAACCTTCCTGTGAAAAGCAGTGAGAGAGAGAGAGAAAAAGGGAGAGGCACGGAAGAAGGGAAGTAGGTGGGGGAATCTTGGTGTGTGACACACCTTTTGGGAGCAACACACAATTGTAAGAGGGACTTTACCTAACAAATGCAATCAGTATAACCTGGTTTCTTGTACCCTCAATGAATCCCCAACAATAAAAAAACCTTTAAAAGTAAAAAAAAAAAAAAAACACAGTAAGTTGAATAATGTCCCCTCAAAACTGTCCACCCATAACCTCAGAACATGCCCTCATTTGGCACTAGGGTTGTTGCATAGTAATTAGTGAAATTAAGATGAGGCCATATCGGGTGGGGCTCAAGTCCAGCGACCAATGTCCTCGTAAAGAGGAAAGGACACACAGCCATGTCAGCAGAAGGTCCTGCCATGACAAGCAGAGATGAAGTGACACAGCTACAAACAAAGGGACAGCACGGAATGCCAGGAGCTTCCCGAAGCTGGAAAGGCAATGAGAGATTCTCCCCAGAACCTTCAGAGGAGCTTGGCCCTGCTGACACCGTGATTTCAGACATGTAGTCTCCAGAACTAAGAGAATAAACTTCCTTCTTTTTTTTTTTCAATTGTTTGGGATTCACTGTGGGTACAAAGAATTAGGTTACACTGATTGCAGCTGTTAGGTAAAGTCCCTCTTGTAATTGTGTCCCGTCCCCAAGAGGTGTGCCACACACAGTAACCCCCATCTCCCTCCCTCAACTTCCCATTGTTTGAAGCCTGCCAATTTGTTCCAAAAGCCCTAGGAAATTAACACACGAATACTAACATTGTGTGAGAACCCAATTCTTTAAATACTATATGTCTAATATTTTCTTTAAAAATAGGGACTGGGCTCAGCGCCTGTGGCTCAAGCAGCTAAGGCGCCAGCCACATACACCTGAGCTGGC